AAAAAAACAAATAAAGAGAAGAGAATATGAGGCATTGTAAGACAATGTTATGAATGTGAAGCAAGCTTCTAACTGAAAAAAATAATTACTAAGAAAACTAACCCATTATTAGGATCAATATCAAGTGCCTTCTTCAAGTATCTCCAAGTATGCTTGTGACCTTCGGAAAAGTGCTTTCACGTTACTAGGCTCTACCTCCAATACTTGGATCACAATTTACATTACTATATATTTAACCAGAAGTGATAACAAAACAACCTTAATGCATATCAATTTAAGCTTCCATTTAGTTGTTAAATCATGAGTCCTAGTATTATATTACCAGAGAGAATATTACAAGACTTTCGTCGTTATAATATCAAAAATTGTAGTCTATCCAAGCAATACAACCAACGAAACCGACAGGAAGTTTAAATTTTGAGCACAATTCTACTTCAGTTTATAATACCTTTGAGCACAATTTAACAGCTTCTGAGAATTCCTTCAACTTAAGTTTGCAAGCGACATTGTTGAGATTGCAGGATACTTTGAAAAACTTCCTCAACTTCTTTTGTTCATTATTGAAGGTGCTATCAAACTCCACATACTTTGTTGCCTGATCGCAGACGATTTAAAATTATTTAGAAAAGAACGAGCTTCACAAAGATATCATAACACCAACATATAAGGTACCTGGCATTATCATTCTAAAATGTTGATTTGGCATTTTTCAACTATTCAGAGGTATGTGTAGAAATAGGTAAATGAATCATCTAAGCATTTCCTTTCCATAAGCAGCTCGTTGATACTTTCCATAAGCATTTCCTTCCTCCTTTCTTTTGGCTGCATACTCAAGTTTCTCATCTGGTTCCATGTCCCATGACTCTGTTACCTGGGTGAATAAGATGTCAAATTGAGGAATAAAAGAACATAGCACCTAACTTAGGCTCACTGTTAGATTTTTCAATGAATCATCTCGTATCTATTTGGGGATTGATTTATTTGCGTTAACTAAAGTGTTTAAAAAATATATTCCAAGGTAGTTACATTTTCCTCACAAAATATGACTGATACAATGGATTTTTTTTTAAATGTATCTCACCTTTGTGAACCCTAGTATCTCAACTTCATAATAAAAAGTTGAACGTGCTGGGACAACACCCAATTGTGCATTGGTTTCAATTTCTCCAAATCCGTATTCATGGTTAATGATGATAATAGCAACCTCTCCTCGCTTCATGGTAGAAACTGCCAGGTCTGCCAGGTCTAGGCCTTCAATGACTTGTTCTAAAAAAAAAAAACTTGATCTTTAGCCCCTGGCTGAAATTGAATTGGCAGTAATGGTCTAATGGAAGATTGATGCTTACCTTCATCTACTTTGAATTCAAATGGGTCTTCCCCATCATATCCATTTTTCTCAAAGATCTTTCCATCAGAGAGTTTAGCAATGTACCTAACTGAATCCAGAGGACCAGATTGACATCGTCATATAAAAGAAATGCATAATTTAGGAAAAAACTTTGGATATGGAAGAACTTACTCTGAGGTGTTGTTCCACTATTTGGCTTCTCGAAACCTTCTCCACATCTTGTTATTTTCTTGATAACCAAATGATCATCCGTGACAATTTCGTAAAGTTTATAAACAATTAATGTCAATGCGATAGTAATAATTGCATTCGGTGGGACTGCAGATAAACCATTTTGTGCGGATCTTCCATGTGAACCAAATGCTTCTACATGTAACTGTTGAAAAGCGTACGTAGTTTAGATTCTGGAAGACAAACATCCATACTGACTACTGACAAAATTTAAACAAACCTATGCGTTCATCAAGTTGCATGCAAATTGAACTAGAGCAATAGATAGCATACATCATTCACTAATTACTGTAATGCAAATCAATTTAAATAAAAGTGCTACAAGTTAAGCAAAAAGTACTAGATGAAGATGAGTTACTCAGAATGCCGGTGAGGTGAGTGTTGGACACTGGGACCCCTCAGATGATTGCATCTCTGTAAGGTAGGCTCAAGCCAAATGGGTGCAGGAAAGTTAATCCTTGACGCAGTTGGATAATGTGGCTGATGAGTTCCAGACTTCCATCTGTTAAGTTGTATATATTCCCATTTGATGAGGCTTATAGAGCCTCCCATACATTTGTTCAGTGGACATGTCATCTGTGAAATATATGCAATTGGGTTTGCAGGACATTGAGACATTCAGATGCAGAGCGAGATATTGTAGAATTGTCACCTATGAATAAACCAGACTGGATCTGGAAAAGGATAAGATTGCGTGTCTCAACGCCCAAAATTGTTTACATTCTAAAGCCCGGCCCAATACTAAATGGGCCGATTCACAACCCGGACGATTTGTAAAACAACTCAATCACTCCCGTCTGCCCTAGATCAACATTACCTTTCCCATATAAATACTAGCATTTCCTTCTCCTTTCACTTTTTACATCAAAGGCGAAGCGAAGGAGGGGGTTTTAAGCTTCGGCGATGGTAATCTCCTTTTCTTTCTCTCTCTATTTCATTCAGATTTCAAAAACACTAGATTTCAGAAACCCTAATTTTTTTTTGTTAATGGGATTGAATGTAGGGAAAAGGAACAGGAAGTTTCGGTAAGAGAAGGAATAAGACTCATACTTTGTGTGTTCGATGTGGACGTCGAAGTTTCCATCTTCAGAAGAGTCGTTGTGCTGCTTGTGGTTATCCCGCAAGTCGAATCAGAAAATGTAATTCATTCTATCTCTTTTCTTTGTTCAATTTGATACATTTTGTGGATATTATCTTTTTGGTGTTTTTATTGATTTGTTTATAAATATTTGTTTTGTAGATAACTGGAGCATGAAGGCTATTCGAAGGAAGACAACTGGAACTGGAAGGATGCAGTATCTTCGTAATGTTCCTCGCAGATTCAAGAGTAATTTCAGAGAAGGTATAAACAACTTCCCACCACAATCATCCCCATTATGTCTTGATTTTGTTTTCTGTTGTTCCAAATGTTCAATTTGATTGATTTGTTTTATCTTTTATATTTATTTTAGGTACTCAAGCAGCTCCAAGGAGTAAGAATGCTGCTGGATCTGCTTAAAAGAGTTAAATGAGCATTTTGCGGTACTATTTTTGTAGTTTGTTCAAATTTGTGATTGTGAATCAGTATTCAGCCATTTTTTTTCAAGACCTGTTGAAGGCTTTTGTTGCCCTCATTTTATGAATGAATGGATTCTTTAACCAGTATATTTAATCAAGCCTACTGAATTTACTAGTTCAGGGTTTCAATGGATGTGTTTTGTGGGTTTCTACAAATTGGAGATTGGGTATATTTTTTCTGATTGATAGTTTTATGCACTCACATTGAACTGTTGTTTTGTATTATCTGCTTTTTTTTTCTCGGATTTTGATTTGTAAACACTTTTTTGTTTATTTTTTGGTTTTATCAAAAAATTGTTAATGCAAAGGGCCTCTATCTTATAGAGAAGTTTGAGATATACTGAGACTTGGAATTTTTGGATGATTTACCTCCAGTTCTCTA